GGTTGCTTCTCTCCTTGATTAGTTTCCATCCATTGCTTCTTGTCCTGACTTCAGGCACTTTGGAAAATAGCTTGACTCCCTCTTCTTTGTGGCAGCCCTTGAGATATTGGAACACGGCTATCATGTCCCCCCTTGTCCTTCTCTTCATTAAAGTAGACATACCCAATTCCAGCAGCCGTTCCTTATATGTTTTAGCCTCCAGTCCCCTAATCATCTTTGTTGCTCTTCTCTGTACTCTTTCTAGAGTCTCAGCATCTTTTTTACATCGTGGTGACCAAAACTGCATGCAGTATTCCAAGTATGGCCTTACCAAGGCCTTGTAAAGTGGTATTAATACTTCACATGAAGTATTAGTTCAGCTTGAGAGATTGTCTATTTTAGCCCCCAGTTGGGAAAGGGCGAAGGATTTTGCAAAGATGATACATTTTCTTTTTCTTTCTTTCCTTCTTTCTTTCTTTCTTTCTTTCTTTCTTTCTTTCTTTCTTTCTTTCTTCATTTATTTATTTTAGTGAGGTTGGCAGGAAAACCATCAATGTTATAAATGCTCCCTCTGGAAAAAAACAAACAAAAACAAAAATCAAGTCCCATCTTAGACCTTCTGTTTTCTTTTAGTTGCTCAAATGGCCATTTGCATGAATCAAATCAGATTTGTGTGTGTGATAAGCAAAGAAATGGCTCATTAATCCAAGGAAGAAGAAAGCAGACGTCGAAAGTACCAGACCGTGAAAAACACAGAGCTTTCATTAAGAGGGAAAATGGAGAGGGAAAGAAATGTTTTTCTTAGGTTGGATAAATACGTTCCTCAAACTGTTCAGTCTATTGCGTCAGTTGGGAGCTCAGCCTTAAGTTTGTAAATAGTAGTTAAAAAATAAACAAGGCAGATTTAGCGTTTGAGGAAATTCATTTCCGTATAGAACAATTGAAATCAGTTGCCCTGATGATTACGTATCAGTCTTTGGGGTTTGAATGCCGTGTCCACTTAAAATGGCTCGTGAAGACTAGAATTCATATTCACTTCCCATGCTGTAGATCAGTCCTTGAGTTACAACCATTTGTAACGACTATTCGAAGTTACTACAGCACTAAAAAAAAAAGTGGCTGGTGACTTTCCATACTTACGACTGTGACAGCATCTCCGTTCAAGTATTATTTTTTTTTACTTTATCAAATTATAAAATACGGAAAGATAAAGAAAAATGGAAATAATGAGAAAATACGGGAGGAAAATGGGAAGAGGGAAAAGTGTCCAGTAAAGGGAAAAGAAGAAGAAAAGCATTGATTTCAGACTCCTTTTGACAGAGTAGAATAAGGTAATAACATACAATCCAAACTTTTTACTTTTACATAATAGTATTTACTAGCCGTTTCTGTGACAGGAAGACCATAACAGCATCTCCATGGACTTAACCATAATCTCCTCTCTCTCTCTCTCTCTCTCTCTCTCTCTCTCTCTCTCTCTCTCTCT